GGAGAGAGAGAGAGAGGAAAAAAGAAAGAGGCCATGTGAACTTCCGCAGCACAAGCACGCCGGAAACATTCGTTCGACAGGTTTTTTATCAGCGGTGTGGAACGTGGAAACTGATTGTAAACGCGAGATAGCGAGAGCTGAAGGAGTGGGAAAACAGCGTATCGCGAAAATTTTCCTCTCATTGTCCGGCGCTCACGATCAATAATGCAGCAAGTCATACGAAACCGATGACAATTACTTATCCAGTGATACTTGAAAAGTACATCTATTTGAAAACTGTACTTTCTTCGAGAACATTGAGAGCACATTAAAAAGTAATAAGATACATAATTTTATATATCTAATAAAATTTTGATTAAAAATCAAAAAAATAATAGTGCAATCTCGTCAAGAACGTGAAACGAAAGATTCACATATTATTTTATAAATTTTATTATAAATAATACGTCCACAATTCATTTATAAAGCTTATTTCTTTAGACTTTTTCTTTGGCTACAACAAATATTTTGCAATTTATCACTTTATTCGCTTTGTATTTGCTTCGTACTACATTTCTACAATTTTCGCAATTGTTCCGATATTTGCCTAAAAATATGAGTAAGAAAGGTAATTATCATGTTAATTAAAAAGGCAAAATGGCGTTTCTCCACATCAAAATAGACGCACCCCTTTAACGCGATAGGTCTGCATGTTGCCGTATAAACTTCGTTCCACTCGGCCGCTGCTTGTTCGCTCGACCGACAAACAAGGGATGGCGTGTATCGCAGAACGAACAGCCCCGACAGACTCAACACAGTGAACTACATCAACGTATGGCCCGTCAGAAGAATCGCTTTTTCCAGGGTAGAAATTTTCTGATGGCGTCGCGAACTTTAATTCTTCAAAAAGGTTAGGTGTTTCGTTTGCGGGTCGCCACGAAACCGATTGTACTTTTTCGAGATAATTCACTCCCTTATATGACAAGTGTGAGTGAGAGAAAATCATTCACATTGGTTAGACAATTCGAGCAACAGACTATTCAGAGTTTTCGTCTTCGAAATAAATGTTAATCAAAATAACTATATATGTTAGGCTCTCAATTAAGAATTTTTTTTTAGAAAATTTCTAGAAATGTTTTGAAAGGCTTTAATATTTTTTTCATTAAAAACTTTAATTAATAATGACGAAGGAATAATCTGTCATTGGAATGTGTCTGCCAATACAAACGAAATGCAACCGTCTTGGGAAACTTCAAAAATAAATTTTTCTTTATTCTT